AGGGGCAGCCTCCCCAGCACTGGTTTGCAGTGTGATCCCGGCTCCGGGTGGCCCCGAATCCAGGCAGCAGCACCGCATCTTGGTGAGAGCAGCACAGGAACTGGGATGCCCACGTATGGAGACCGTTGCCCAATACTGGGCATCCCCACTGGGCCACCTGGGCTTTGTCGCTTGGATTAAATTAAACTCCATTAGGAGTCCCAGGTGCCACCCGCGGCTCTGCAACTGCAGGAGAGTCGCTTCATCTCCCCGTGCCTCGGTTTACCCATCTGTGGAATGGGGTGAGCAGTGATTACTCACCCCCAGAACATTTTCTGACCTCTGCCTGAAGGGCTGCTCACATGGGCATAGGGCAAGCTGTCCCTGGCCAGATCGGGCTGACTCAGTCGACACGGCTTGGCATCTGCACTTGCAGAACGGCCCTTGTGTGCTTTGGGATTTCACTTCCCCATGCGTTGTCCCTTCACGGCATCTGGGTCTCAGCAGCGTCCTCCCACAGCTCCTGCCCAGTTTGTCCCCGGGACCGGGGGTCTGCGCCCTGCCGGGGGGCACGGCAGAGGCACTGCTCAGCTGCAGCACTCGAGGACAATGTCGCTATTGTCTGCTTGTTGAATTAATCTGCCAGGAACAACCAGCGCTCCACAGCCAGGTGAAGCTGCCGGTTCCCTGCCCCAGCACCGGGCTGTGAGCAGCTGGGAGCAACGATGAGGGGCGGGCTGCCGAGCTCAGCTGGGAAAGATGATCACCTACTCCGGCAGCTCCCTCCAGCTTATTTAAGCCAGGCTGCCTCTTTCCCCTCTTGATGCTCCAGATTCCGGGTAGCTGCTGGGCCATGGGTCTGCTTGCAACACCCCAGGTGTTGCCTGGCTTCTCCCGCTCTCCCTCCCACTCCGAAACTGCAGGTGACTGGTGGCTGGTTTCCCTGCCTCCCTCCCCATCACGCGTGGATCCCGCACCTTGAACCGGCCCGGACTGCCTTTCCCCCGGGGACTGCTCTCTGCTGGCATGGATGTGGTGGCCTTCTCTCCGCGGCAGGCAGTCCAGCTGGAGGTCGGTGCACATGGCAGCTCACGGTGCAAAGGCAACGGGCTCCTCTGCTGCTGCTGCCTGGGCTGCGGCACTTTGCCCAGCTCTGCCCAAACCCTCGGAGCAGAGCAGAGTGCAGAAGGACCGAGGTGGTGTTTACGCTCACGACAAGCTCGGCAAAGGGCTCGTGCTGCAGACAGGCACTGTGCTTTTATCCCCAGGGCAGCTGGGGCTGGGCTGGGCATGAGGCGAGCAGAGCTGGCCAGGAGCCCCCCCAGAACACCAGCTGCCCCGTTTGACAGGCAGCCCTGCCGCGCGGGGAGCCGGTTGTGCTCCCTCTCCCCACGGCTGACTTTTGGGTGCCAGCCCGCAGCAGCGCTCAGTGCTCTTGCGGCTGGGGGAACATTTGCAGAGAGGACGTCAGAACGAGGGCTCAAACCACAGCCACGCGTGTGAGATAAGCACGGCTCCGGGTCTGACTTTTACTCAAAAGCCAGCAAAGGATGAGTAAAGGTTTTGCGGGCAGAAGTCGCAGCTTGCTCACCAGCACAATGCATGCTCCTTAACAGAAACAAATTCGTAAAGCCACTGCTGTTTGTCTGCTCCAGTGGCCGTACAACAGCAACCAGTGATGCTGGTCACTGGGAGCCCGTGGTAGAAGTTTTCTTAGCTTCTGTGACAGACCTAAGAAAAAAACAAAAAATACTCGGACTTTAGACTTCTAAGAAAAAAAGTAGCTAATAGTTCACCTGAGTGCAAGAAACAACATGTGCTTCCTGCTAAGGAATAATGCGAGCAATTTAACCTATAGTGAACTTACTGTATTTATGCACTGGAGGTAGAAATACTTTCGCATCCAGCATCACTGGTGAAGCTGGACTGTATTTTCTACTACAACGGAGACATTTGTCCTTAACAGCATTGTAATTCTGCTGATCTGATAACCGAAGGGTTACGCTTGCTGCAGGATGGGGCATGTGAAATAGCAGATGTGGAGACAGCATACAAATGCCAGTGTCAATGATACTGTCTGGGTATTTACAAAAATCTCATTTACACATAGACAGAAGGAGTTCTCCTAGGAAGGGTTCCTGGCAGCTGCTCGTTGCTTTCTTTCTGCAAAGCAGTGGTGCGGGACCTGCTGCAGCGCTGGCTCTCCTGCTGATCCTGTATGCTTTCTAACAACGGGCACTGAGGATACCCAGGGGTGTTCCGTGGTGCGGGTGTGCAACACTTGCTGTGAGAACCTGAATCCTGTTGGCACGACTGCTCAGGCTTGTTGGGGGCAGACGCTGCCAGGCACTCGCCAGCCCTCCCGGCTGCCGTGCCAGCCCAGCCCCACTGAGCACACCGAGGGGCTCCCCTGGGCTCCCTGGCACCTTCGGGAGAGCGCACGCGAAGCCAAGCCTGCAGCACGCCTGTCCCAGGCTTGCCCACATGGCTGCTGCAAAATTCAGACATGGGGATAAACAGCCTTCGGCTGCGGGCTGAGTAAATTCGGGCTTGTTACGGCTGTCCCTCGGGGAAGGGGTGCGAAGGGGTGGGTGATGCTGTGAAACAGAAACTGCCCCTGCTCCTCCGCGGGTGTGCAGGAGGCTGGGCAGCTGCTCGCTCGGTGCCGTCCCCTGACACGACGGGGAGGTGGCTCTTGATGGCCGGGAGACGTTAGCGGTGCCAAGGGCCCCGCAGGCACTGGGAGGAGGTCTGTACCCAGGGGGCCCCGCGCACCCTGCC